ACAACTTACCAGCACATAGTAGTATGCATAGAGAGCAGCAAAATGATGTATGACAAAATATTTCTCTCCAATTGACTCCCATGAAGTAAACATGAGCAGGAGATCTGAAAAAAAGAAACAGATAATGTTCTGAGTGTAACCATCAAGTTAAAAGCAAAAACATATGTTCCTTACTAAATACATTAATGTACACATCTTAATCATTATTCCCAATAAACAAGCAAATAAATAAATAGATTTTTAAACTGCGATGAAGCAGTTTTGTTAAAATATTTTTCATCAAAGAAATAATAATAAACGATTATGCTGAAAAATAAATAAAAAAATTAAAATGAGTTTTAATTCAGAAATGAAAAAAGTTAATCTTAGAAGAAATGTATTCAAATCATTAAGTGTATAAACTAAATGTTTAGTTTTTTGTATTTAAGTACAAATTAATAGATATAGCATCACATCATTAAGCCTCCACCCACCTGATATAAGATAGCCTGAGGTAATGGCCACATTTAGCTTCACCAGTGTGGCATCTCCCCTGTAATCACAAATTAGAGGTTAGATAAGATAAATAATGTTTGTGAGACCACCAAAAACATCTGATTCAGATTATACTTTCAGGACAGAAACCACACTATGTTGCATAAGTTGTGCCAACACATTTGTAATGGACTGCATCTTCAAATCCTCACCAGACTGGGTCTTTCTGGATAGGTTCATCAAAGATATATATGTAGAGACAGAAAAGTCCCACAACCAAGGCGTGTACCGTTGAGACGGCCCTTTGAGAGAAAAAAAAAACAGTAAGAGTTTAAAGATATTCCAATTTTAGTTAAGAGTGCATAATAAAACATGCTTTTAGAAGATAAATCTGACACCTGGAGTTCCACTCTGTCCTTTGTGTAGGTCTGAGCCTCAGGAAGCCTTTGCAGAGCTTCTCAGACAACCAAGGGCTACCTCTGTGGAACAGCCACTGGAAGCCCAGGAAGCTCCCTGTTACAACCACCAGCACCTGCAGGCTGAGAGGCTCCATGCCTGCTGAGCCCTAAAGAAAGAAAGAGACGAG